TGTGAGTGTGTGTGTGAGTGTGTGAGTGTGAGTGTGTGTGTGTGTGAGTGTGTGTGAGAGTGTGAGTGTGTGTGAGTGTGTGTGTGAGTGTGTGTGTGAGTGTGTGTGTGAGTGTGTGAGTGTGTGAGTGTGTGTGTGAGTGTGTGTGAGTGTGAGTGTGTGTGAGTGTGTGTGAGTGTGTGTGTGAGTGAGTGAGAATGTGAGTGTGAGTGTGTGTGAGTGTGTGTGAGTGTGTGTGTGAGTGTGTGTGAGTGTGAGTGTGTGTGTGAGTGTGTGTGTGAGTGTGTGAGTGTGTGTGAGTGTGTGTGTGTGTGTGTGAGTGTGTGTGTGTGTGCTACCTGATGTTTTCTGAGTGGTGGGTGTGTTTATTATTGTTCCATCTGCCTTTTTGTAGAAGGTCACCTGCTTCTAATGAATGAATGTAGTATAAACTACATAGAAGTCAAGATTATACCACTTACCTGTACCAAAAGACCCTCCTCTGTTTCTTAATGATTGTCTTCTCCTGTGGAAAGTAAAAAAAAGCTAAAACTCAGCCTGTCCATGTTCTCATAGCACAGGCAGAACTTGTGAGGGCCTCATAGCTGAGCTTCCTCATCTATATACAATATAGCAGGGTGGTCAAGAGCACAGAACTTGGATTCTGGCTGCCTAGGTTTGAATCCTGCTGTACCACTTCCTAACTACAGTGATGTGAAGCAATGTATGGAGGCTTATTATTTCTTTCCTAACCTTAGAGTTATTATAAGGGTTAAAAGATTGGGGGGAGGGTAGTGACAAGATGAGAAGATAAGCAAAAATGAAGGGGAAAGTAGGAGTAGAGGAAAATCCCAAACTGGGGCAGGGTAGTCTTACCATGTTGTTTTGAATGGTCTCTACCAAAATTGCCCCAGGTTTCACTATTTGTGAAGAGTTGTTCTGGACTTTAGATCTAGATTTAAAAAAAAAACTGTTAGCACCAAGGACTATGAAACATAATTTGAGGGGCTAATGAAAAGTACTTTTCTGAGTCCTGTAACAGCTATGATTTATTGCCTAAATTTTTTACAAAATTGACAATGTTCAACATTCAAAATTCAAAATTGCTCAACATGCAAAAAGTTCTTAAGATGTAAACCATTCTCAACTGGAAAGTGGTGAAACCACTGTGGAAAACAGTATGGTGCTTCCTTAAAAAGTTGTAAATAGAAGTACCATATGGCCCAGCAATCCCCCTAGTTAGTATGTATACATTCCAGAGGAATAAGAGCCACAACATGAATAGATATATCTACATTCATCCTGGTGTGGTACTGTAGGATGAGCACTGGACAGGCAACTACAAGGCCAGTAATTCAAACCCACCAGCTGCTCCTTGGAAACCCTATACAGGGTTGCTATGAGTCAGAACTGACTAGACAGCACTTGACAACAACAACAAATATTGATTCCATCACTATTCACAATAGCAAAAAGATAAATGCTCCTCAATGGAAGAACAGGTAAACAATTTATGGTACATACATACAGTGGAATACTATGCAACATTAAAGAATAAAGATGAACGTGTGAAATGCCTCATAGCATGGATAAACCAAAAAGACATTGTGCTGAGTGAAGTGAGTCAATCACAAAAGGACAAATATTGAATAAGACTATTTTTGTAAAAAGAGAAGAAAAGATTTTCACACTAAAAAAAAGATCAGTCCTGATATAGCCCAGATGGTGGATACTAACTTTAAAGTCTTGGCAGCTGAAATCTCAGAGAAGGTTCCCTAGTTGGGCTACTCACAGACTACTCTGAACACACAGGATTTGGGATTTAGCTAGAGATTTGGTGAAAAGGTTAGACACAGAGTTTTGAACTTCCCATCTCTGACTTTCAGTGTTCTTTCCAGCAGCTTTGGCTGCCCCAAACTCTGCCTTCTGTTTTTTAATCCCAGTTTTCTAACTGATTTTTCACTGTACCTCATAGCACAAAGTTTGGCCTGGACAGGCTAAACAAGATAAAGATGGGGAAATCTCACCCTTCTTCCCACTATGAACTTCTTTCCAGAATCTGCCCACTTTTATTAACTCTCTTAATGTTTCTGATTATTGTTTGTGCATTTGATTTGTTGTTTTTGTTGTCCAGATTAGACCTGGCTGGAACATCAGATCCAGGAAAATCGTAAACTTTTTGAGAAAATTTCTGTTTGCGTTCATCACGTAAAAGAGACGCCGGGGTCTGTTCTTATAAATTCTGGATGGAGCAGCTTCTATCAAACTACCCCACCTCCAAAAGCAACTATAAAAAATAGACAAAGTTTTAATTCACTGGAGAACAGTCAAAACTTGAGAGAGTAAAATCCCTGAGAAATAAAGCACACTGAAGTGAGTGAGCACTTCATTCATCCAGACTTTTCCTAGAAGGCATTTGCCAATGTTTGGTGCAAGGAAATAGAGTCTAAGCTGCAAGTAGCAGCATTCAATGGGTTGAGAAAATAGAATTCGGAATTCAGGATGATCAAATATGCCATGCCTCAAGGGAAATAACAAAAGAGGAGGAAACCATAGAGACATATGTGTAAATGCCTGCAAGGAATTTCTCTTTGAGGTAATATCTGTCTCGGACATTGTACATGCCTACATCAAGATTCTTAAACACCCATTATCGCCATATCTAACTAGTAGAATACTAAAATCTGAAGCTACTGCAATAAAGCAAGGAAAAAAAAAGTATAAATATTGAAAAACAAGAGACAACTTCCATTGTGTTTGTTGTCTAGATAAAACTCTAAAAAAATCTTCAAATTATTACAATAAGTGAATGTAGCAAGGTTAGGAAGACCAGTTAATGACGCTATTCACATCATGCACCAACCATTAAAGCCAGCGATAATGAAATTAAAGAATTCTACCAACTTCTTCATTCTGAAATTGATCAAACATGCAATCAAGATGTATTGCTAATTACCGGCTATTGGAATGCAAAGATTAGAAACAAAGACAAAGGGTTTATAGATGCAAAATACTACATTGGTGATACAAAGGATGCTGGAAATCTAATGATAGAATTTTGCAAGACCAATGACTTCATTACAAATACCTTTTTAAACAACGTAAAAGACAGTTATACACATGGGTCTTATCAGATGCAATACAACAAAATCAAATTGACTACATCTGTGGAAAGATATGGAGCTTTGTTCCATTGTTGTTGTTGTTGTTGTTAGGCGCCATCGAGTCAGTACTGACACATAGTGACCCTATGCACAACAAAATGAAACATTGCCCAGTCCTGGGCTAATCTCACAATTGTTGCCACACTTGAGCCCATTGATGCTGCCACTTTGCCATTCCATCTTGCTGGGGGCCTTCCTCTTTATCTCTGACCTCCCACCTTACCAAACATGAAATCCTTCTCTGGTGACTGGTCCCTCCTGACAATATGTTCAAAGTCTGAGAGACGAAGTTTGGCCATCGTGGCCTCCAAGGGGCACTCTGGCTGCACTTCTTCCAATACAGATATGTTTGTTCTTTTGGCAACCCATGGCACTTTCAATATTCTCCTCCAATATCATCAGTAAAAACAAGGCTGGGCAGACTGTGGAACAGACCCATCAATGGCTTATGTGCAAGCTCAGACTGCAGCTGAAGAAAATTGAAACAGTTTATGAGAGTCAAAATATGACTTTGAACATATTCCACCTGAAATTAGAGATCATCTTAAGAAACAATTTGATGAATTCAACACTAATGACCAAAGACCAGAAGAGTTGTAGGATGACATCAAGAAAAATCATACAGGAAGAAAGCAAAAGGTCATTAAGAAGTCAAGAAAGAAGGAAAAGACCAAAATAGATACCAGAAAAATCTTGCTCTTCAGAATAGAGATGTTAAAACAAATGGAAGAAATGAGGAGATCAAAAGCTGCACAAAAAATTTCAAAGGGCCTAGAAGACAGAGTCAAACAGTAAAATGAAATGTGCAAAGACCTGGAGTTAGAACAACAAAAGGGAAGAACACCTGGTCAACTGATTGAAAAAGATCCAGATGTATGCCCATTCCATAGAGAGTGAACAAATGATACATGGAAATCATTGAACAATATCATTAGGATCAAGTGCAATAAAATTTTGCTAAAAATAATTCAAAAATTGTTGCAACAATACAATGACAGGGAACTGCCTTTGTATTTGTATTCAAGTAGGATTCAGATAAGGACATGGAATGAGGGCTATCACTGCTGATGGATCTTAGCAGAAAGCAGAGAATACCAGAAAGATCTCTACTTGTACTTTATTGACTATGCAAAAGCTTTCAACTGTGTGGATCAACACAAACTATGGACAACATTGCAGAGAATGAGTATTCTGAAACACTTTATTGTTCTCATGAGGAACCTGTATGTAGATCAAGAGGCAGTTGTTCGGACAGAACAAAGGGACATTAAATGGTTTAAAATCAGGAAAGGTATGTGACAGGGTTATATTATTTCACCATACTTAAATTCAGTCTGTATGCAGAACAAATAATCTGAGAAGCTGTATTATATGAAGAAGAATGTGACATCAGGATTGGAGGAAGATTCATTAACAACCTGGATGTGCTGAAAGAGAAGAGGACTTGAAATAAGTACTGATGAATATCAAAGCCATCACAGCCTTCAGTATGGGTTGTACCTCAATGTAAAGAAACAAAAGTCTTCACCACTAGACTAATACATTACACCATGATTAATGGAGAAAAGATTAGCGTTGTCAAAGACTTCATTTTGTTTGAGTCCACATGGAAGCAGCATTCAAGAAATAAAGTAATGTATTGCATTAGACAAACCTGCTGTACAAGACATCTTTAAAGAAGACATCTTTAAAAAGTTGAAGAGTAAAAATGTCAGTTGGAAGACTAAGGGGCATCTGACCAAAGCCATGGTATTTTCAAACATCTCATATGCATGTGAAAGTTGAATACTGAATAAGGAGGACCATAGAAGAATGGATGCTCTTGAATTACGGTGTTGGAGAAAAATATTAAAAGTACCATGGACTTCCAGAAGAACAAATAAATCTGTGTTGGAAGTAGTATGGTCAGAATGTTCCTTAGAAGCCAGAATGGTCAGATTTCATCTCCCACACTTTGGACATATTATCAAAAAGGATCAGTCCATGGAGAAGGACATCATGTTTGGTAAAATGGAGGGCCAGCAAAAAAGAGGAAGACGCTGAATGAGATGGGATAAAGCACCAAGCACCAGGCTGCAAGGTCAGTTCTAACTACAAGGTCAGAGGTTCAAACTCACCAGCTGCTCCTTGGAAACTATACAGGGTCACTGTGAGTCGGAACCAACTCAACAGCACTTAACAATAGTACATATATCTAACTAAGGAGCCTATCAAGAAAAATATAAGGCACTCTCACAAATCAGAGTTCTGGTGTGGTGGTATAAGATAAGTACTAGACTGCAAGGTAAGTTTGAATCACAAGGTTGGAGGTTCAAACTCACCAGTCACTCCTTGGAAACCCTATACAGGGTCACTGTGATTCAGAACCCACTGAGTGGCATTTAGCAAAAACAATACATTTCAGTAAAAAAAAAAAAACTAGTCTCCCAAATCTAGGCAAAAGACATCTTAGGAAAGAAGATATCCAAATTTCCAATAAGCATTTGAAAATATCTACAATGTCATTAATAATCAGTGAAATACATTGTGAAAATAAGTTAGATTATAAGTACACCACTCCAGAATGACTAATAATAATAATAATAAAAGAAGTAGAATAACTAGAACAGTCATACATTACTCATGGGAGGGACATTGGTACAGTCATTCTCGAAAACTATTCAGTTTTAACTTAAAAAGGAGCCCTGGTGGTGTTGTAGAAAAGCATTGGATTGCTAAGCACAAGGTTGGTGGATCAAACCCACCCATGACTACTTGGGAGAAAGATGAGACTGTCTGCTCCCATAAA